CGAGTGTTTAACCTTTACAGTTCATACGACAGGGTCACCGAGTCGATGAACACAGTCACGTAAAGTGTTCACGCAACGAGTGTCTCTTTGTTCGTCGTTTTGTACGTACCCTGACGAGCAAACTGAGCTTCTGCTAGGGGAAAAATCGGCGTAAGGGAAGGACCTCCAACCACTTGCTTTCTAAAAATTCCTGACCACGCCATAAACCTGCGTTAGCGACAAACGCTAACAATCTTATTGCGGGTGATCGACCGAATCGCCCGATTTGACGTTCCGAACTCAGTAGTTTAGTCGCTTGCCCAGTAATTCTTCTTGCGACTACTCTCACCTGTGTTATTCGAACAGGTAACCCGTACATAATCGTAAACTCATAGCAGTCGAACGAAGAACCTCGTACGCCGTTACGTTTCCATCAGAGCTCAGAATTTTCACGTTTCGCAGTGGTGCGAAATCAAATCAAATCGTTCGAAGCGATCCATTCGACGATGTATTGTGCCGCGAAATCGTTCCGTGGATCACATTACCCACGGCCTGCTGCTATTCTTTTCCCCGTATTGTCTCTTTCCTTTTTGTGTTCTCCTTCGCCGCGCGCCTCGGGAAACGAAACGACCCTTTTCGCGTTGAACGAGTTTCCCTGGTGATTCAAGACATCTCGCGACTTTTCCACAGTATCCCTCTATCTCTCTCTCTCTCTCTCTGGATCTCTCTCTTCCTCTCCCCTTCTCTCTCTCCCTCCCCCACCCTCTCGATCACTCTATCCCTCTCTTTCTCTCGGTTTTGTTTACGAGAAAGTTACGGGCCGCAGCAACGGAACTTCGTGGCGAGTTCCCCGCGTCATTGGCTTTGCCGGCATCATTCGCGACGAATGCGAAGGGGCTGCGTTCCGCGGCAGAAGTAATTACAGAACCGACACGACTGCAGGAGAAACGCCGCGTCGCGGTGCGAGCCGCCGGGGCTTTCTGGCCACTGGGAGTTCCAAAAGTTCCTCTGAATGGCCTCCGCCGCCCCCCCCCCCGGGGGGAGGAGTGCTAATTATTGTCCCCTCATAATGCAAGGAAATCCCTTCGAGTTTAACGCGGCCGCGAGTGTGAATTATTTTTTAAATGGGAGGGAGGCGAATAAAGGGGAATTCTCGGCCCTGGGAGAATGCTCGTCCTTTACGTCGCCAGTTCACTCGACGATATTCCGCGTTATATATCTCCGTGATTCTACACAGGGTGCCTGATAAAAATTATTACCGGCGCGGCAGAAGGTTGTCGTACGAGAGCGAATAAATTAAAAATGTAGAATGAAATTTTATTTGTACCAAGGTTAACCTGGTCTTCACTTCGTGAATCTCGGTTTAGAGTTTTTTCTGCAGTTTACTGGCGGCACATAATTAGTACTGTTGAGGATTTCAGGTAACCGTTTCCTGGTGGAATTATTTATGCAACGTTTCGCAAGAATTGCAGCTAACTTCATCACGGGGTCGAATGGCACACTAATACTGGTCTTGTGATACTCTACAAGTATACTGGAGCTTTTTAATGATCTGGTTCATGCCAATGAAAAGACAGTTTTAAATGGTCAGCTACATAATTAAAACTGTCTTGTGATTGAACAAACTCCAATGTATTGCTCGATCATCATAAAACACATACCGTCGTACAGTGTGTCATTCAACCCCCCGATGAAACTAGCTGCAATGTTTTCGAAACGTTGGGAAAACAATTTCACCAGGACACAACATACACACGAAAGCCTGAACATAACTAACTGTATGATGCCTGAAAGTCTCAAATCTCTGATTAATGGCAGTATATTTCAGAACAAATATTCTGTAGTTAAATATTGTTGGCGGAAGATTACTCGGCTGAAGACTTTGAAACATGCCTTTTGTTAGAGATTTCCATTTCACTTTATTCATATATTTCGTCGGCATACGATAAGGGAAAAATACGTGCAAAGTCTTCTCAGAACCGCTTCGCGCGAACATTGTACCGCAGCTTTCTGATATTTCCGCGAAAAATCAGCTTTCCTCTAATATCACGCGAGAGAGACACCCATTGTCTCGCGACAACGACCAATGGAGAACGCAGCTGCGACGTGTCAACGAAAACCGCGAAAATAAACGGGGGTGAAAGGACGAGAATGAGAAACCGCGTTCCAATTTCACCTGCCCAACCCATCCCGTGACTCTCCGCGTCTTGTCCGCCCCGGTGATAAGACGCGTCCTCTATCGTCGCGACGATATCCCGAGCGTGGTGGCCCCGCCTCCAATTTTCCGCGATATTGCGACCGCGAGGAAAACCGTGGAAAACCGCGGGAAACCGCGCCTCGCTGAAACTCCCTTTTGTTCTCGCGATACCACCGCTAATACGTATCCGCCGTCGTGGCTTTCAACATCGCCTTCGTAAGAGGAAGGAACGGGATACGACGTTTATTGCCCGCCACGGAGATTGCCACGGACTCTCAGAGGAACACGTGAAGGATCACGGCGTAACACGCCTCGAGTACGCGAATTCTGGGGGCGAAACACCGCTCCGCGGATTATCCACTTTCGTGACGGACGCCCCCACGTTCGTTGTCGATGCACACGGAGGCAAGGACGTTAAGTAAAGACGCTAAGTAGAGTTACGCTGCAGTACGTGTTTCAAAGATCTCGTACACTAAGAACATTTTCCGTAGACTCTTGGAACGGTAACGCTGAATATTGCACAGTAAAGGCTCCATGAGAGTTGGAGAGGATGTTGTGAGAGTTTATACTTTATCCCCACCATAGGGGGAGGGGGCGTGAAACCTGTCTAATGCATAATTTACTGCCCTCCCCCATGCTTTTGTTGCCGAGGCTCGGGCTTCGGGCAAAAAATAGATTTGTTAGGTTTTGCAACGATTCGCTGTGCACTGTGAAAGTTTTGAAGCTGTCCCGAGTTTCAAACTCTCATGGAACCTTTACTGTATTTTTAAAAAACAGGTATAGAAATCGGTTACTCAATGGGGAAACGAGGTTTTCATTATGGCGATTTGGAAAGTTAGGTAACAGCTGATTCGTTAAAGTAATATCATCGACTGACAACCACAAACTTTGGAAAAAAAGTCCTTACGTCAGTCTTTGGCTTGCTACGACGGTGGAGTATCCCTGGGATAGATATTTCTCTGTCTAAAAAAATCCCGTTAACAGTCGGTATGCAAATTGCACCGCAGCCTTTAATCCTAATAAAACTAGCTTAATGCACAGAACCAGGGATTGCCTTTTAACCAACGCTCTTTTCCATATTGTCGAACACACCCCATTACAATCAAAGCCGTAAAATCCCGCACGATTAACAGCGTCCTCGACGTGTCAGCTCTCCACCATCCACCGAATCGGAAGTCGTCATCAGGGTGGTCCGAAACCGAAGGGCGACGAAACGAGGGTGAAAGTATAGTCGCAAGGCGGCGTCGATCTATCAGCGAAATACGGCCGCAGACAATTCCATTTTTCCATTTACGGCCATCCATTCCCTTTCAGTCCCACCCCGTCGTGCGATGCAAAGCAACCGCCCCCAAGCTTCCGGTTCTCCCGGCCCCCCTCCAGGATTGTTCGTTCGATTCGGTTTCATCCGTTCGCTCGAGCCGAAGCACAATTGCTTGGCCGTGCATACCGTACAGGCGGCTCGTGAAAGTTGCATGAACGGAATGAAAGAAACGCGAACCGAGAGGGAATTGGGCGGATGAATCGCCGCGCTTGGTTTAGGGGGCTGGGGGACGGGACAGAATGATAGATGTTCGGATAGATGGATGGACGGATCGGAGGGAGTCCGTGGAGTCGGCGCGAATAAATCACACCGTGTGCCGGACGAATTTACTTGAATCGTTGCTGGTAGCCGATAATCGTTCCCGATGCCTCGTGGAAAACGACTGGAACGACTGCTACGGAGTGTATCCTCGTGATTTTGACGAGCGACAGGGTTATGGCGGACAGAACGGAGGGGGGAGAGGGGGCACGCGGTCGATGACGCCGAGGGAGAAAAATACGAGTTCGCTGACGGGCTCGGAAACGGGCCGTTCTAATTCGCGTCGATTCGCCGGTGTACGGCAGCCGCCGCGTTGTTCCTGACAGCTTACACGTATACGCGGAGATTTCAAAATAAAACCGTCAGTCGGAGAAATTTCCTGCGTACCCGACCGGCGCGATACGATCGAGCAGACGCTCGTAAACCGTTAGTTTCAATCAACGGGGGTAAATGGTTTTCTATCCACGACCACCCCTCCCCGTCCCCCCTCCCCTATGCTCGTGTGCTCCATTTCAACGTTTGCCCCCGACGATCCCGGGGGCCTTGGTATAAAGTGATAGATATACAGCTCCACGATCTGACTCGGGAACACGTAGACAGGTGTAAATCTATCCCAGCACCTGTATATAAAGTTAACATTGCATATAGTCTGATCGAAAAGTTCGGGAACTTTATGCATAAATCGTTTGTTATTGATCTTAAGAATAATTACGTAGGATCAGATTTACAGCAATCTATTTTATAAAGAGTGTAGAGAGCGATCCAGAGGAAGATGGAGCAATTCGGAATCATAATAATCGATGAAATTCATCTTCAGATTCCAGTTCTGAAAACCTTGTACGTCCTACATTTTTATACGCGCGTTTATCAGCTCCGTAATTGGAAATACATGAATATCAACGAGAACGTAAAAGAATATTGCAGATCGATCGGTGTGTGTGTCACCTGTCACGAGTAATGAAATACCTTAGCGTCCAATACGCTCTGATAAAATAAATTCCATCCACTTCGGGATCAGCTTACAGGCTCGGTGTTAGCCAGATGATCTCTTCTGGCTCGTTTATTTTTTCATTCAAAACCGCTTTATGCATCGAAAGAGATAGTACACCGCGTAAAGAAAGGTGTGCTCCGTTCCTGCCGATCAAGGTAAACGAGATCGGGGCGCGTGAACGATCACGTGGAACGACCGTGAGTTAAGTGGCGTTTCGCGGTAGTTATTGGTTTTTTTTTTTTTTCTTGTTCCAGGTGACTTCTCGTTGCACATATACCCGGTGGAGCTGGAAGACGACGGCACTTACCAATGCCAGGCCTCGCCCACGAACGACGGGCAACCGGCTCTTCGCTCGAGATTCGCGAAACTGAGCGTTCTGGTGCCGCCTCAGAAGCCGAAGATCCTTCAGAGCGACTTCCTCACCACCACTGAGGATCGAGAGCTGGTAATCGAGTGCGTCAGCGTAGCCGGCAAGCCGCCAGCAGAGGTAAGATTCACGTCTGTCGAGTTATGAATATTGATCGGAGTGGACCGTTCAACGCGTGCTTTGGTCTCGATGGTCCGAGTTAGCCACGAGTCATCCCCGTGAAAATCTTGATGCGCTTTCAACCGGACAGATACCTACGTGGCGCGTCTGGAACGCAAGAACTGGTTCGACGTGAAAAGATTCTTAAATCAAGGGGTGAAAAAACTATTTGTCGCTGGTGTAGAATGCTGGTACACAGGTTCAACTATATCCAGATATCGTTTATACATAAATTAAGTACTTATCGAAGTATCGTCGTTAGAGAAGTTTCCTATTAAAACCTTTCAACCAGTTTCGCAGACGTTTGATCTCGTGAATATAGCTGTTTGGAAAATCTGCATTAGCTCGCATCCCCTTAGTTTCTTAACGAGTCGTGATATTACAGTCGCGGTAAGTGAAGCGTGTCTTTCAAGGTATATAAGTTTATTATAAGTAGACTATGGATTTTATGCGTTTATAGCGTGCTCGGTTGTCTGAAATTCAGTATTCTCGAGAAGTACCAATAAATTTTAATATGGTTTTCATATTATGTGGCATCACGTAAGAACCTTCGGTGCAGTAAAGAAACTTCTGTTTAATTCTAGTTTTCAGAAAGAAATCTGTAAAAATCGTACAAGATCGGTAAACATGATTTTTATTCTCGGAATAAATTCTATACTTTGCTGTGGCCCATTAACGTCGTTTTGTCGCGAAACTTCTATATCCGAGCTATACATACAGAATTCAGAGGACACGACGTGATTAAACACAATTATACCATCGTATGTAGCAAACAAACATTCTCTTGATACACAAAACAATTGACCTCGCGAAGATGTCTCTTAATTTCCGAACTAGCACCTCTAATCGCCACTTGAGCCGCATCTGTATTCGCTTCAGGAAATTTAAAACGTATTCCACAAAGAAACATCAACGAGTCGTTAAGAGGGATCCAACGAGGTCGGTACCGTTGGAAACTGGGAATGTAATTTAAAAACGGAAAGCCCCGTAGCCGGGAGAACGTAAACGCGAGATGCCCGTGGGGTCGTAGTAACGCGTTAAACCGCATTACGTGTACGACGCATAATTACCGCGCGCAAAAGCTTTGTCCTCTTCACGTGGCGTCGTTGATAAAGGGACAGACCGGCGCCGTGTTTCCCTTGGGTCGTGCACACCGAAAAATCCTCCTGAAACGTCCTCTGTGGACAGAGACGTACATATAGCAACGTGTAGCCGCGATGATTTTCGGGTCGATGTTTCGACGTGTTCGTCCCTTTCGAAGCGACGACGAAAGCCAGCTGGAGGAAACGCTTTTAAACCACGGGCAGAAGTGACTCGTCGAAATGGCGGCTTGACCGAGTTCGGATCCATGCTTCGACAAGGCAGGGGCGACGCTGGGATACCCGTGAAAAGGGAAAACCGGATCTTTGAGGATGGCTGCATCGAGGGCGCGGGATAAAAAAAACGCTGCTGGATAAAAGACCGACCGAGGGCATAAAAAAAAAATAGAGGACTCTCCCGCCTCAACCAGCGGCGGCCCGCTTCGATTTCCCCCGGTCTGTGTGTCTATTTACTTTTTTCTGCCGTAGATGTTTTTACACGGGCCGCGTATACCGCGGCGGTGAAATGGCGGGGGCAAACCCCGTGGACGGACAGAAGGTGTAAGCCCTTTCAACCACGCCGGCCTGGCCACGAGATGCCATTTGTATAATGGTACCATTAATCCGTTACCGAGGTACCGGTGCACGTAGTACTTGATGCTCGGACCGGTGATGCGTTATCCAGAGACCAAGATACTCGGAGGATCGAATTATCGAGCACGACGTGATTTCGGGACGCTGTTGATGCGACCAGAGTGAATGTTGTTCGGGTATACAGAGTGTTAAAACCCTATAACGCTCGGTGTTGCACTGGTACAAGGATCATATTAATAGTGGGTCGAATTCTGTCCACGATTGATATCCAACTTGTGTCTGCAAGGATCCGTAATTTCACTAATGGTAAAGTAAATCTGCGCGGTTTCTATTAGGAAATTCAAAAGTAAATATATAAATACAAAGAAATAGGCCGATTTAATATGGATATCATCGACTTAGAAATCACAAGATTCAACATTATATGTACATATCAGTCTTGTAATTTTGAATATAAAAAATATAAACTTCGTTATATACAGAATTTCAGGAAACTGGGTACGCTATGAATACATAATCCGGAGTGTACTAGTAACATTTTCTTAGTATTTGATCATTCTTTTGGTATAGGTCATGATGCTTTTCACTGTGTATTATTCGAATAAAATTCTGCCCAACACTGTCTTCAATATACCAAACTATTATTATTACGTTTGCACTTGTCATGACGATCATTTTCTATTTCAAATAACCGTGGTCGCGAAACTGTTAATTCAGACTATCGAACAAATACCACAGAACCCGAAAAATCAACCGTAATATGTTTCAACAGCCTGTGTGCGACCGCTACGCGGGCGTAATGTTAGGCCACAGAGCCCGAAATCCGCGGGATTGTAATTTTATCCGCGGAGCTTATTGAATCGATGACGTAATAAAGATCCGTTCACGGGGGGTGGAGATATCGATGATGCGGCGTTAATGCGAAGAGGGGAGGTGGGGTGGGGACCGATTCGCGACACCGCGAACAATTTCACGGCGGGCCGAGCTTCGCCGCTAATTCACCATTCGTTTCGGATCGCGTTGCCACCCCGCGATTGCATTCGTTAATACAGAAATCCGTTTTCGATCGCGTATCGCGCTCGCTCGCGGAGAGGATATATGTATACCATTCGACCTAGATAAATAACGAGTCGCGGGGATTGTCGTCGACGCGGGAACAGGCGAAAAATTAATTAAATTTGCTTCGCGGTCGTTCGTCGACCGCGAACGTGTACGCCTGGTTTTTAATTAAAATTACGCGAATCTCCCTGATTAATGCCGTTACATGGGAGCACGGATTCGCTAGGGGGGCCACCCAGGAACACCATCGTGACACGAAATTCGCCAACATTTCACGCCCTAACACCCGATGAATCGAATACACGATTCACGATTCGCGGGCTGGAAGATATACAGTCTACGAGGATCACATCACAGTGACGGACTGACCAGGGTGTCAGCTTGCACGGTGGCAAGTGAGTCCCCTGAAAAATTAGACAATACGTTGAAAACGATAATTCATTTATTTAGTTATTGTACGGGTATAAACACAACACGCATACATAACAATTAAGTAAATATAAAAATAGGTAAATATATATATTATTCAAATTGATAAGTTCAATAGTTTTCCTTTAAAAAATTGCCCCTAAATATTCCTATAAAAAATAGCCCCTTAATATTGGTTTCTGAAGAAATATAATAAAATCATTCTGCGAGGCAACTTTATATTTAAGAATGTAATACATGACTCTAAACAAATAATTTTTATACCCACTTGTAAGTGAGCCTTCCCTTGTCTACTGGCAACCAATATGTGTAGACCCAGTCCGCCACTGGATTATCGTACGCAGAGCTGTCGCTTGTAGATCCCGCGACTATCTTGTTGGAGAACGATTGCACTTGGCGAACGGGATTCAATTATCACCGCCCCCCTGTGCTATCGTTTGCTCGGCTGCTCGAGCTACGCCACACCGCACACCGGTTTCATAAACATTATCGTCGCACTGCAACGACGAAAACGTGGAAACGATCGTACCAGTTGGATACTGGATAGCTCGAACGAGCTTCTGTGCCGATGACCCTTGTTGTACGTACCTTGAAATTACCTCGATGCACGCTATCGCGGGATTTTCGGTGTTACGGGTGTGGCCGACTTTAACGATTCGTTGCATGGTGGGAACCGGTGAAGAAAGCGAATAATGTTCTGAACGAAGAGAAATAATTGGAACTTGGAGGGTGTGCTTGTAGAAACGGTCGATGAGATATGTTGATAAATTGAAATATGTTGGAATTTACTGGTTTCGAATTTTGTTGCAATCATTTTCGATTTTGTATTATACAGAATGATTCCAAGTATGTGCCACGTAAATTTAATAATGTAGCTACAACGAAAGTATCCAAGTGTTGTTAAGCACAAGCCAGTGTTATTACGATTATTATTATTATTGGTCCCTATGACAAAGAACAAGGAAATATTTTGTTCGTATGCTCCACCCAGAAATTGTTTCGAAACATTTTCGAGTTAATCGAATTTGAAAATCTGTTGGACACGCGTGCAATTGAATAGGAGTTTGCACACGCGTCTGTACAGTGCATTCTATTTCTACTTATCGTCACTAGGAACACTTACCTACAAACGTTAGGTGAATTCTGAAAATTGTTCATCTTGAGAACGAAGTATCATACGACAGAATATTATTCTACATTTTCAATTTATATTTCCATGTAAAATCACATCCCTTCACGTTGTACCACCATTTCGAAAACACCTTGTGTTATCACGACACGAAAATGTATCCGGCAAACAAACAGTTTCGAACGGTCCACTCGACCTTTCTTGCCCAGGCTTTACACGCGTGTTCCGTGCCTTATGCGCCCATGCGGTTTGGTGACACTCAGTTTAACCGAGGCTCTGTATACACGCCTCTATATGTATAAAAACAAGGGACCGTTGTAACTCGCAGTCGGAGGCGTATGGTTCCACGAACGATCCATTATAGTGATACGCACGACATCCTACAAACCGCGAGCAGCGAGTTTATTCACTGCTCGCCCTCACCCCTCCTTGCCCCCCACAAAATCCCGGCCACGCGCACGACCCGAGAAAAATATCATCGGCGGGCATACGCCACGGCGAAAGATAGTTACACTCTGGTTTATGTTGCCTAGAAAAAAAAAAATACAACAACAAGTTCCCCTGCCACAGCGATCCTGGTCCCGCCCGAAAAAAGAGAGAACCAAGGGATAAAGGAACGGTGAAAGAGAGAAATAGAGAGACGGAGATGGTAAACCTGGCGAGTGTTGTAA